TGCAGCCTTTAATTTCAAAGTGGTTAATTGTGGGCTTATTTTATCATTCTATTTACTTTCAAAAGTGTTCAACCATGGAATTGATTAATTTATCAATTTGAAAAGTGCTTTTGAATATGATTTGGATAGGTATCCACAAACATCAAAAGAAAGGTCTTTTCAAGCTTCAAATTCAGTGTATTTTGATGAGAACTAGATCACCATAAACTGAACAACATAGTAAATTAATGGGATTCTTTTACTTGTAATTAAATTACTCCATATATATATATATATATATATATGTATGAGTTTCTGCTGCCAAATAGACCAATATAATTTATAGAAATATAGAACCGATGAATAGATAAGAGTGCCCACCTATACAAATTGAAACTTAGACTGTAATCAATTAGGATATGTTTGGTTTGAAGGAAAATATAGGGAAAGGTAGAGAAAGGTAGGAAAATCTTTACAAACCTTGTATTGGTTATCTTGTCTTTCCCTACCTTTTCCTTCAAGCCAAACATAACCTTAAGTTCTCATTTGTTTTTTGGTACCTAGGTAATATGCTTACGTGGGTATGTGATTCCCAAACAAAAGTGGGGAAATTGATCAATTACCCAATTGACCGACTTACCCCCGTGAAATACCGGAAAGCAAACAAGGCCTAATAAGCAAATAGGAACAATCTTTAATTAATTGATTTAATTATATATAGGGCAACAACTCTAGCATACAAACTTCTTGTATCTCTTCATGATTTTTTTGACAAGCTAGTATTTGTGTATGTGTGACACGTGACAAATTTTGTGATGATGATAGTATATAATATATTTCCAATTTTTTTTACAATATTTTTATATTTCTACATCTATAAAATAATTCTTATTTATCACATTTATTATGGTTCATTAATATAAAGATAATGTCCAAATAAAATTCTTGCAAAGGTAATGAGAATTAATAAAATTCTTATTATTCTTATTTATTATGGTTCATTAATAAAATTAATAAAATTAATTTTTTTTATCAATTACCTTTGTCAGAATTTTATTTGAATTCTTGTTATCTCTGCTAAAATTAACTTCTATATGATAAATCCAGATTCAGCTCCTTCAACCATTGAAAACCTTACAATGAACTACTATAAAAAAATATCAATTACTCTTGCAGATATCTTGCCATCCAATGATGTGGGATTTAAGGTAATGGAAATGAAAAAATAACCCACCATATGGTGGGAATAAAGAAGAGAAAACCATCTACTATCTTAATGATCAAGAACTGAATCAATGAAAATAGGTTAAAAATATTTTAAAAAAGCAAGAAAATAGTTTAAAGAATAAATTGCTCATCTATTTGCATTGGAAGCCTCTTCATGGTGGTTAATGTGGACCAACATTGGCTATCGAGAACATAAGATGTACTTTAAGTTTTTTTTTTTTTAATTTAAATAAATGAAGGGGTAAATTATTAAAATCTCTAGTAAAAGTTTGATCATTGCTGAACCCCCCTAAAATTTGGTAAATGCAGCCACCTCCCATGAACATTTTGACACAATTGCAAGTAGACCTCTGTTAGAATCTTCTACCAAAAAGCACAAAAATGTCCAAAATACCCATGTAGTTACTTTTGACCAAAACTTTTCTTCATATCAATCACTATCACAATCCCTTATAATATCTTTTTTGGAATTGATGCATTTTCCAACTTTGCCCTTCATATCAATTACATGGGTATTTTGGACATTTCCATGCCTCTTGTTAGGGTATTTTACAAAGGGGGTCTACTTGCAATTGTGTCAAGAAGTTTAGGGGAGGTGATTGCAATTACCAAACTTTAAGGGAGGTTTCAACAATTACCATGGTTTGTTTTTCAATTATTGAACAAAAGAGGAATTTTTGTGTATTTTCCCTCACAATCATTAAATGGGAATGTTAAATAACATTTTTGCCATTGACTTGTTTTACAATTATTATGAACAAAAATAATGGAGTTTTGTGTTTTTTTGCAATAAGCATTAGATGGGAAAGAAAAGTCATTTCCTAATAAAGATTATATAAGGAAACAAAATTATACATTTACCATTGCTCGTTCTCTTATTCAAACCTTAGAAATGGAGCATTTTAGTTTAGTGAAAATTTCATAAGCAACTCATATCTTTACGTACTTTTATAGATATATAGTATAAATTTAGAAGAAAAAAAAAAGATATGATCATCATTTCTCTTGACTATTAATATTTGACATTAAAATTTCAGAATATGTACCCACTCATTTGATGGACAAAAAAAATCTTATTATATAAAGTTTATATAACTTCATTTTGATCTTGCCCTGCAATTTCTCCATGCATGTAACTTCTGGGGTGTGAGCTCAAATGGATTAAAATGAAACACAAGTCTGATCCAGTATACATTCAGCCTAACACGGTTTGAAAGTGTAATAAGTTGTATGCTGATGTGTGGACAAACTCATCATGAAACACACACGTCTAGCCCTTCACATGGCAAAGAAACCCCGACAAGCTTCAGGGTTCAGGGTCTGAAAAGAAAAATACTACTTGAAGAACATAGAGAATTGGCCAGTTTTTCAGCCAAGTACAAATTGTAGAATTTTGGGGTTTGCTTTCAAGTTAAAAATCCCTATAAATTAAATAATCTAGCAAAGGTATGTTACTGCAGCTTGCTGGTTGCTGCTACACATGAATTGCATGTGTCCTGCTGCCAGTGTTTAACTTTTATGCTGATCGTGTTTAACGTTGAGCTGCTGTCATGTGCACCATTCAGCTTCTATTCTTGTTTAAAAGTTTTTGGCTCTTAATAATTAAACAAGTAGAGTAGTACGTAGTATTCAACTACAGCTCAATCTTACGTACCCATGGCGCAGCCGTGTCCGTCTTGTAAGTCAATAAAATAATTTCTTACTTGAAGCCCAACTAATATTAGAGTAAGAAAGTGATTAAACTAACTAAATTAAATTAGAATTGGTTTCACGATTGATCCATAGAGTTTGGTAGGTTACCATCAGCTTAGGAATTAATTAGAGTGGTCCTAAGCAAACAGATATAGGGGGCGGCTTCCCCTGTTTATTCTAGCTTATTGCGTTGCTACAATCTGGTTGTTCAGATGGGAAATGGTCTTATTAATTCTAGGGTTTGGTTCGGCTAATAACCTCATTGGCCATTTTTATTTTGTCTCGATCTCTCTCTTCTTGTTGAATTTTCTAATCAATTGATTGGTGTACGTCTGCCAGCCCTATATTCTAGGGTTTTAAGCAGGTTTCCCACATACGGACACAGAGACGAACCATTAACCACAAAATTACAGAAATGAGACAAGGTTGTATTTTGGTGTAAATTAAATGCATATATATACTATATATAGTTGAATTAATAATCACATATAACTAGCTAGAGGTCCACCCTAAAAGTCCATCCCACATGTTCAGAATAAGCCCTTTTTGAGCAATTATTATATTAGAAAATAGCAACTTTTAATTTGAGAGCTAATATTATTCAGAGAAGGTGGAGGGGATAAGGTTGAGGTAGATTGAATGACAGAGACTAGGTAGTGGGCAATTCAGAGAGTCCTCTGTACTGTGTGGATGGTCAAGAATCAAGATTGACCATAATATATACTCCATGAGGGCAGAAATTTGCTAGGTTGAATAGAGAAAGAAACCTAATTGGTAACACATGCATATATAGTCCTGTCCTGCCATGTTTTCTCTCTATCCCTCTCTCATTTTAATTAATTTGTTTCTGGTTAAGGAAATGAAAATGGTCATCAGTCATCACCAATTCACCATTGGTAACAGTCTATACTACTTATTTTATCCAGTCAAAGGCTGGTTGTATATGTTGTGTGTTTATATATATATAGCCAAAATTGTCACGTGGAAGATGATGTGGTCAATCTAGCCCACCTTTTAAGTCTATTTTGGCTACTTCTTCAATGATCGTTAATTACTCCAAGTCAGCTTTACATGTTATCTCTGATTCTTCCCTCCCAATTAGCTAATCACAGTGAAGCTAAGCCTTTAATTAATGGTCAAAATCATCATCGATCTGCTAGAATAGTATATATTCTAACTTTTGCAGCATTAAATTTAAGCATCCCAGTGGAATACAATATAATACAAACCTGGGTCGTCATTGTGGTTAAGTCTCTGTGAGCCCAAAAGAGCCAAATATTTTTATCTTGAGTCTTGCTTGGTGGTCTCTCCCCCCCAAACCTGGGTCATTCTGGTTCTGTTTTTTACCACGTGGCAAGGGTTAAACAGACGGTGGACTAGTGTGAACACCGGAATACCCTCGTAGAAAAGCTGCAATTTGGGAAGCTTCTTTGCTAGAGGATTGATGCTTATGTGAACTTGTAAATCCAATCCAAAGCTATTAAATTAATATAAAGAAATCACGTCAAATCTCTAGTCCTATATTAATCTATAGATGAATCCATACCCACTTTCCCCCCTTTTCTTCTATATGATTTTACCGAATTTTCTTTGTCAAATAGTTAATTAACTAAACGATTCCAGTTCCAGCCATCTCAAATCAGTACACCCCAGAGCCCAAAACAGCTGATTGTCCGACCCAAAAAGGAGAGGAATTCCAAATGGGGCCATAATTCCAGAAAACCAAAGTTTGGAATAACAGAATAAGATTGACAAGAGTGAAACTAAACACAGTAAACAAAACAAAACCAGGAGATGAAGGATAAAGCTTTTTATTGCACCAAGCTGTACCGAATCATACTGGACTGAATCCACCAAATAGTCGCACCGATGATAAAAGGTGTCATAAAACGACAAACCCATCTGAGTGGTCCAAAGAAAAAAAAAAAAACGTGCGTCACCTTGATAACGTAGGGTGGGTCCACCTTCCACATCAAGGCATGACACGTGGACCAATGGAGAACGATCACCACATCCCTCCACGAAGGTATCCACGAAAGCGCCCCAAAGAGAGAGATAATATTTAATCCAAGCACAATGCACGCTTATTATGCACCAAATAATCAAAACCCCAAAGCCAAAGCGTACCCCATCCGAACTCTCCTTCTTCACCTCCACCTTCCGCCATGTCCGACTCCACTTTCCTGGCAACAGACTTCCTTCCTGCAGACCCCAATTTCAACCCTAATCCGATGCTCAATTATAATTATTTAGTGGATTATCATGGCCAGCAGGAGTTCGAACTTTCTGATTATCTGGCTCTCGAAGACGGATCGGAAGAAGATTCGACGTCAAACCACCTTATCGGATGTCACTCGGCGAACCCAGTTTTGCCGGAAAAGATTATCGATGGCTCAGTCCGGTACACCGACGACTCGGTTCGGAACGTGGCACCGACACCCAGAAGTAGTAGCATGCAAGTGATAGCTACTTGATTTTACTGTGAAAGCTAGATGGGTTTTTGAATAATTAAACATGATTTTCACTCTCCTGGTTGTTTGTTCATGTGGTTGCAGAAAATGCAAAGGTGGGCTGAAGAAAATTAAGACGGATGCAGGCTTCAGGATTGCATTTAGAACCAAATCCGAGCTTGAAATCATGGATGATGGATTCAAGTGGAGGAAATACGGGAAGAAGACGGTCAAGAACAGTCCAAATCCGAGGTAACAGCGAAACCCGAAACCGCTATACGACTATGTATATACTTGTGATGATTCTAACTGTTTGTATGTGTCTAAACCTACCGATCTTTGGTTAGAGCAAAGTTGGACAATTAAGCTGTTGGTTGATGATGCTAATGGTGATGACTTGAACAGGGATCTGCTTATTTTGAGCTGCCTATGTTATAGATATTTCTGAGTTGCTTTAACCAAGTATAGTTCGCCTATTGTGGGTTTGGATGCTATTGCCTATCAATTGTAGGACTAGGTTTTACTAATGTCTTGGATTTACCTTCTCAGTTCTAATTTGTTATAAAGTGTGTGTGTGTGTGTGTAGAGAGAGAGAGAGAGGGAGAGAGCAGTTCTCTGATTGAGGAACACTAGGCAGAGAAGTAATCTTGTCACATACTACCTCCTGTACTAGGTCTGATCAATTATCAATTATGGCAACGACGACTATCTCATAGTCTTCCTTTTGGATCCTTCACGTCCCCAAGAGAACGTAAGGTGTGTTGAATAGTTGGTGTGTGGATTCTACTAGGAAACTTAACCATATTTTCAAGGGGGGCGGCTCCTTCATTCTGATTTCTGTCCTTCATCAACTGGGTCATTGTTAAAATACTGCTAACAGCAGTACTTAGTTATGCAAGGAAGATTAGGAAGTAGTACTTGTAGTTTAATTAAATTCCATTTTTATGTACTAATTAATCACTTCAAAACTGCATAGATAGATAGGTCATTTTGATGAACTCATCATCAACTGTGTATAGACTGAGGGGAGGTGAGGTCACTTGGGCCGCTAGCTGGCTCCTTTTTATTAAAAGGTGGAAGAGTAGGCTCCTTCCTCTCCTCCCTTTGATGATGGATAACATGGGCGACGTGGCTCTTCTATCCACAGCAGAAAGGAGCCTTTCCTCCCAATATAAATGAAGCAAAAGTTTAATTTTTGATATAGAATAGTACTATAGATCTATTGATAATATTAGTTGATACTCTTAGACATTGTTCCTATCTAACCCGTGTTCTGTGCTCTCTTCTTTCTAGTGTGTGTGTGTGTTTGTCTCTATGTATGTGTAATGTATGTGCATATGCATACCCATCTCACCCCTTATAGATCGATCATACAAGCAAGTTCACGAGTGAGAATAAAAGAGCTAGGACACAATAAAAGCGTCACCATTGAGACAAGGTGGAGCCAAATACTCAGCTACTTTGTTTGTCTTTCTCTCCAGTCTCCACTGGTGATGCATATTCGATCCAGTCCTGGAAATTTGTCGATAATAGCTTAGATATATGATCAGAGAAAACATTGCCGACAGCAATCCAAGTTTGCTACATGTCAGCTCTAGCTACCAGTATTGTTAATTTATTTATTTATTTACATCTTTTGTAAGATTCAGCTTGTGAAACCTGAGAGGGTTCACACTTCATATATACTACTTGAAGCTGATCAAGAATCGTCTCACACCATACACCCCATAACACAAATATCCTTGCTCAAGTAGAAGAATTGAAGTGAACTTGTTATTTGATAATTAAGCTGATAGTGGTGTCTAGATACCATGGAGGATGATTTGATCGATGCTGTTTAATTACCCAGGAATTACTATCGTTGCTCAAGTGGAGGGTGCAATGTGAAGAAGAGAGTGGAGAGGGACCGAGAAGATTCGAGCTACGTGATAACGACTTATGAGGGTGTCCACAACCATGAAAGCCCGTGTGTGGTTTACTACAATGAAATGCCGCTAATGGTTCCTAGTGGCTGGACTCTGCAAGCTTCGAATTCATCTTCCTCTTGAAGCTGCTCGCATTAATCAGATTCTAACGACGATGGGGACACAGTGGGAAGGCAGTGATGTAAAGTAATTAATGTTGTATCTGTAGCTAGTAACATAAGATTCTTATATCTAATAAAACATTATATTTGGTCTTTAGTTGGCATTTATTACTTAAGCTTCTCTCTCTCTCTCTCTCTCTCTCACACACACACACACACAAAGGAGATAGCCATGCAACAAGATTGGTAGGTTGGACCAGCTATCCTCTAGCTCTGGAGTACTGTTTTCAGTCTGATCCTATAGATTGGGGTTGTTACTTGTTAGTCAGCCAGATGAAGAATTGAACAGGATTCGATGATCGTTTAATTAAACCAGTAAAAACCCATCAGACTCAGACATTTAATTAATCTGGCAGGGGGTCTAGTTGTTCTTTTAGTATTTCAGCTAAGTATTTAGAGATAAAGGAGATGGCACAAGATCAACCGGCCGGTGATACTGCAACTCTGATGGGCCAACAAGTTAGTCGAAGCAGTAATGCTGCACGTACGTTTTTACTTCATTGGGTCAATCTAATAGATCATCGATTAAAAAGAAGAACCAACTTTGTTGAAATTCAATAAATCTGATCGTATAAAACTGGTAGGGGTTTAATTGACCAACGTACATAATGGAGTTAACTCGGAACAATTGCCACTGATTATTAATTATGATATCTCTACAATAGGAAGGTTTCAAATTCTTGTTTATATTGAGAAAATCTTGAATTAAATGGCCATTACTTAGTTTCTTTCCTTTAATCTTTCTTTTTCCATGAACAAAATAAAAAGAAAAGAGAAAAAAAGGCATCACGTTTCTTGAAATTTATATCTTATTTACTGTTTTTGGTAGAACTAAATCTGGGTTTTTGAAAAAAATGATCCATTGTTAAAAACAGTGAAATGGTGCACAACATAGAACATATATATACATATAATTATTAAAAATAAGAACACTTCTTGGAATTTTGTGCTCTTTTCAGAGACCATATTTTTATTTCTAAAACAAGTTTAATGTACAGGATTCGTGTAGTTGTGTGATCACCAAGGTTTTAAAAAGCTAAAGGCATAGCTGAGGTGTATGCATCAAAAAATTAAAAAAATATATATATTGTTTAAAGTTTGTAAACAGTAAGAAGAAAATATGATAAACTAAGATAGAATGATAATACTTGCAAGCATTCATAAAACAGGAGTTATAAGTAACAAATTCTTGGTTTTTAGCACTCAACAAAATAATAACCAATCAACTAGCAACCACAAACCTTTTATATTTCAAGTTTCAAAACCCAAATTTGGCAACTTATTGTTCAAATAACCAATCATATGTTTTAGATTACCAAAATTAAACTCCATATCACCAATGTTTCTCTATCACTAATGAAATCTTCTAACAAATTACTCATATAATTGATATATACTAAATTTCTGGTTACCCAACATTTTAGAAGAAAGTAAACAACTTAGTTGGTTTAAACTATGTAATAAAGAATAAAACAAAAAGAAATCCATTATGAAGAGAATTGAGTGGCAAAAATCGAAAAAAATGGCAAACTTAAGATGCTCGATTTGTAATCATCCAAAAGTGTAGGATAATAAAAAAAAAAAAAAAATCTGACTTGATTTGACCAAGAATGAAGAGAGTATGGTGAAGGTTATCTTTGGTCCTTGGTGCATTGAACTCCTCTAAAACCCTAAGAGAAACCATAAATTCTATTTGCTCTAATAGCTTTTCCTTTTAATCTTCTTTTGTCCATAATTAGCAAAATGTCCTATAATTTCCATATGTTTAAACTTAGAAATAAAAACATAAAACAACATTTTATGTATTAAATAACTAAACTGTTGTAGGTTCTTGAGGCTTATGCCTCTTTTTGACAAAGGCATAAATGTCAGACCAAAGTTATGAGCCTTAAGCCTTAAGGCTATGTTTGGTTTGAAGGGAAGTGTAGGGAAAGGAAGGGAAAGATAGGAAAACCTTTATAAACCTTGTATTGGTTTTCCTGTCTTTCCCTTCCTTTCCCTACCTTTTCCTTCAAACCAAACATAGCTTAAGGGAAAATTTGAGAGTTTCGCCTCAAAGGAAATCTTTTAAAATCATGGATGGGACAAGACTTTGGATGATGATAATGATGATGAGAATCAAAGTTTGATGTGTCCCTTCATATTTCTCATAATACATTAATATTCCCACCTAATTTAGGGGACTGAAATGCTCATCAAAAAATGAAAATAAGAATAGTGCCAATTTGGCAGATATTAGCTAGGCTTCTGCAGCTCCAACTTTGACTAGCTTATTAAAATGGAAATGAATAAAGCCAATAAGATAAAGTCATTTCTAGAAATTATTTCTAATGATATTTGTAAATGTGATATACATATTGTACTGAAAGGTTGGCAGTATATTGAAAGTTGTTCAATTTGACATCTGGAAATCACAACAATAGAAAAGACATTATTGAGTTGCAATTATTTGATTTCAGTTTGTTTGTTGATATGTAATATCAACAACTTTTACTTGATAATGTCAAGATAACCTGATCCCTTTATGAATCCTAGTTCACATTTGTGATTTGGCCCTTATTGGTAGCTGCCTTCAGCATGATTTGTATATAGCCACAAAAAGATGAGGAGAAAAAACACCATAAGACAGTGTTTGGTTTGATAAAAAAAAAATAGGAGAGAAATTATTTCTCAATTATTTTTCTATTAAACCAAAAACATAGCCTAATTGTGCAATATACTCATGTTGCAGCACATAGAGAAGTCTAGTGAGACACTGTGACACATGCATGGAATCAGGTTATTGCCATGTTAGCAAATATTTGACAAGAAGTTTTTTTTTTTTTAAAAAAAAAGCTACTTTTCTTTGTTTTTCAAAATAAGGAATATTCCCCGGGTACCGATATGTCAGTTTTCACAAATTAATCAGAACAAAAGCTCCATTTTTGCAAATGCATATTTGCAATTTCTCTCTGATTAGTTGTTTCTAAATTTGGAGTAAGAGAAACCAAATAATTAAACCATGGTGGCAAACACCCCCTAAATTAGAAACTAAAGCAGAATGCTCATCTACTAGCTAAAATTTGATTAAAAACAGATTAAGCTACCCATTTTCACCATCATTAATTATATGTCATTTCATTTATATTTTGATTTCAATGTTCCTAACAAAATGGCAACAAAGCTCATCATCTCTTCATTTGTACAAACAATTTCTCAAACTAGGATCAATGAATGGATATGGCTCTACTCCCTTTTGATGAAATTAATTGAAGGAGAGCAGAATTGAATCACTTTGTATATATATAGATGTATGACAACATCAAGATGTCTGTATCTCTAGTTTTCTTTTTGTTTACGATAGTGAGACATCAAAATAACTCATGTGAGAGTGCTTTTCAGTGGATTGTCCACAGATGGAATTGAAGACAATACAAGTAGGGAACAAGTGTTCAAATATTGATTCGGCATGAAGCAAAGGAGTCTTCTCGTCATGGAATAATTTTCGTTTTATTCCTTTTAGCTTATTCGAAGAAGGGAATGTTGGACCACTCTTACCGCTCATAGGACAAATTTATCAGATATCCCTAGCTACTTCCTCTACAAATTTGTTGTATTGTCCTCTTTAGCTCTTGTGTGTAAAGGATTATATATGATGTAAGCCCTCTACACCATAGTCCATATGTATGTATGATCTATAGTTAAACTTACGAGAAAATAAGCAAACAACACAAATTTATACTTTAATTTTGATTTGTTAGCTCTGATTCATTTTTGTATATATGTTATACAGTGTGTCAGCCCCAAGCTAAGCCCCCAGATAATTAGAAGAGTATATATATAGTGTGTTGTGTCATGTTGGTGGCTGACAAAAAAAAAATGTTTGAAACTAGCTTGTTGAGAAATAAAAAAAGTTTTTTTTTTCAAATTTCTGTTTCTCTCTTCTTTTTTAAAATTTTTATCCAACCAAACACAACCTTACCAAATTCAATATGAATATGAATCCTGAATCGTTGGGATTAAGTGTCAGTTTAGTTGGTCCCATTTCTAAAGATGACAAGCTTATTAAATTTCTGATATGATCTCTTCTACTACGTACATATCATACCATTACATGCATCAGTGATTTATTTATTTATTGCTAATAGTATTGTTGATGTTTCAAATTTGGTATTTTATCGTTTTGAAGAGATGGAAACTCAAAAAGGATTTAAGGCTATATTTGTTTTAGTAGAGAACAAAAAGCTTAAGGAAAAGTTTTTCGAAGGAAACCTTAAGCTCAGTTTGGAAAGAGTATAAATACAAATATATACAGTGCAAATGCATACAAAATAATATAAAATATAAGGTTTTATACTCTACATATTTGCATTTGTACTCCTTTTAAACTGAGTATTAAGGTCAATTTGGAAGGAGTATAAATACAAATATGTACAGTATCAATACATACAAAATACAAGGTTTTGCACTCTACAAATTTGCATTTGTACTCCTTCCAAACTGAGCCTTAGACTCAGTTTGGAAGGAGTAAAAATGCATACAAATACATAATTTTGCACTCTGTATACTTGTATTTGTACTCCTTCCAAACTGATTCTTGGAAAGAATACAAAATACAAATATGCCAGGAGGGGAGCTAGGATTTTTCATTAGGAGGGCCAATAATACATATTGAATTTGGACGTGGTAAGGGTGACGCTACCATTGAATGGGAGCTAGGATTTTTCATTAGGAGGGCCAATAATACATATTTGTACTCCCTCCAAACTAAACCTCAGTGGAATTTTATTTGGATTAATATAAATACATAAAAATGCAAATAAAAAGAATGCAATTCTAGTTTATTTCTGCTTTTGGGTTTTATGTTGTTTTTTGTTGCAAGTATATTTTACTCAGTCAACAATGCAAACAAATAAAAAGCAGCAGAAGCTGAAACAAAAATAAAACAGAATTTACGCACTCCCCCAATTTTGGGGTAAATGAAATTGCAATTCAAACAAACTATGTCTTATATAATAACTTAATTTCCTTCAATTTTCATGAATTCATCACATGATACTGATTTGATTGATTATATAATTTGACAATGGATATGACACCGAAAAGAGTGGAATAACT